AATGCCGTGCATGATTAGCTAGAAGAGACGGCGCCGTGAGTAGGGGAGAACTCCAGCGAAGCACACAGGGATACCACGTGTTATGGGGTCTTTTAACATAAATATAATAAGATTTAAAAGACCAAAATTTTCCTATTCAAAAACTCATATTTCTACTCATTTTCTCAGTGATATGGATGATAAAAAAAATTTATCAACATGAGTATGAATCTCTATCAATATATCAATATATACATAAGAAAAAAATTAAGATATATAAATTTAAAATTTGTTACTAGGCTTTGATGCCACGTATTAGATCTATATATTTCAATTCATATAAATAAGTAAAGCAATATATGCGTACCTGAAGAATTTATGAGTACTTGAGAAATCTCGATTACCTCGAGTGTAGGCAGGTACACAACCCACAGGTTCCCAGAGCCTTCAGAGAATTCAGAGATAATAGAGTAGAAGAAATGAGTCGTATGTTTGTGGTTATCGACTAATTGTCTTATATAGATTAAATCGGCAACCGCCTTATTAAATGATAGGGATGGCATCGTTCCCCCCTCACTCCTGACGACGCATCTCCCTGACTGCTGCACGCCAGCCTTCCCCATTCCTCCTTATTTCCAGCTTGCGGCTGGAGAGGACCTAAAAACGGGTTAGGAACTCGGTTCCATGGGTTCTGGGCCAATATCTTAAAAAAAGGTTCTGGGCCCAGAAACATATTAGCCCAGTAGAGTAAAAAAAATTTGTTGTTTTTGCTAATTACGTTTTTTGGCCCAGTTTAAATTACATCTATCTGCCCATAATTTCTAGTATTTACAAATTAACCTTAGGATATTTCTGGAAATTATATGTCCCTTAACTTCCAGAATTGCAGTTTTAGACCCAAATCTCTTCCAGAATTACCTATTTACCCCTAGATACATTTTAAAATTTCACTTAAGTCTTAAATTTATTCCTTAATTCCTAAAAGACCCCAAAGGTAATTCCTTTAGAATTACCTAGGATTCATGTTCTTCCTGTAACATCCCAATTTAAATTTTAATAGTTAATTTGAATTAATAGAAATTTTGAAAAAAAAATATTGAGAGGTAAGTAAATTAGTAGAAAATGATCATTAAATCTAACTTAGGATATAATTTTAAATAAAAATTTAAAAAAAATAAAAATAATAAAAATAAAAAAATAAAATAAAAAATATTATTAAATTATTATAATAAAAAAAGAAAAAGAAAAGGTATTAAAAAAAGGGAAGAAGAAGAAGAAAACCAGTTGCTTTCGGCGCCGCGTCATGATTACATAAAATAATAAAAAAAAAGGGAGAGAGAGGAAAGAAGAAATAATAAAAAAAGATGTGGGACCTACTGAATTTTTATAAAACTCACCCGTTTCCTTTCATTTCTTCAATTCTTTTCCTGCGCGCGAGCTGAGGCGGAGAGAAGCGAGTCGCCAGTGCAAAATATCTAAATTTTTAAGGTAAGAGTTTTTAATAGGATATTTAGGGTGTGATTTTAAGCTTTTCAAGACTAAGTAAGTGTTCTAAAAATTTTTCTTAGTCATCCTTCTTCTTTAGTTTCTGAGTTTGTAGTGATGGAAAATTTAAGATCTGAAAGAGGGATGAATTTATGTTGAATAAATATGGTTTTTGAGGTTGTCAGTAGTATAATAAATGTTCTAGAGTATAAATTTATTGATGATCTTTGAATTTGTGGCTTATGGATCAAATTCTAAACTAGATCTGAAAATATATATTGATTTATTGAGGTTTAGATGATTATTTGGGATGAGAAATGAATTATTATGGTTATAGAATTATGGTTCTAAGCTAGAGACTCAATTTTTAATTTTTGAGTATTTTAGGTACGAATTTATGAAATAAAAAGAAAATTTTGATAATAGAAATTAGTTTAGAAGTTGATTTTTAGATTATTAATGTTTATTGATAATTAAAAGAGGAGTTAAAAATTTTACTTAATAGTATTAACTATAGATTTGTATTAAGATTGAGATTAGGAATTATGTTATATTTTTAATTCTATTATTAGAATTATTTTATTAGTTTCAAAAATTGAAACTAATATTTATAAATAATATGTTATTTGTAGATTGTATTACTGGTGAAGATTGTGGTGAGAGAGAAATTTTAAGGAATAATTTATTGAAAAAGCCACAAGGTAACCATGCTTTTAATTTATGATTTGTGTTACTTCATATTAATTGGGTGATTATTGAGAAAATTATAAATTTTGTAATATTATATAATTGTGCAATATTATTATGAATTTATTTGATTATTGTGGGAGGTGTTGGGAGACTTGCTATTGTTGTTGTATTTATGTGCCACGTGGTACGCCCTTATTTGAGCTCAATAGGTGGCTTGTAAGGGCTCGGGCTAATCTACCTTTGGCCGGATAATTTAGCACCGAGTGAGGGCTACGGCTCGAGGTTAATGGAGGGATATAAGGATGGTTATTTGTGTGTATTGTAATATTTCATATATTTGTTGGAATTATATTATTTTTAATTCTCACTTAGTAAACACACACTTAACTGTTTGTATACACTATCATAAATTGGCTTTGGTTACTGGGACTTTTGAGTCTCATTATGTGGTTAACAATTTTCAGGAGAAGAGCCACAAGTGACACGTGGAGGAGTCCCAGAGGCTTAGTGGTATAGATCCACTGTCTCTTTTGGGTATTTAATTTATAATTTATAATGTGTTATATTGCCAATATTAGGGCTTTTTGTTTATTGTCAATTATATGAATATATAAATGTAATCATGCCTTTCAAACTATTTCTATTTTTGGTACAATTTGGATGACTGTAATTTTAATATTTGGTTTACTTTGGATTGGTTAAAATGGCATGATTATAAGGCCAAATAACTGGCTTGTGTTAAAAATTGACTAAATTGCTTATTTTACTTGTTGGGAGTATAAGGATGGACAAATGTAATTCAGTTTACTTGTTGGGAGTATAAGGATGGACAAATGTAATTTAGCCTAATGGCATGTGGGAGGTAAAAATTTATCTGAAATGTTATAGTGTGTGAGTTGAAGCCAATTATAAAATATTTTATATTGAAATTATTGATATAAAAATGTGTTGGGTGGCTGTAACCCAACTATGGTTGAGTTAAATTATTTTAAAAAAAAATTTGGTGTGTTACACTTCCTCACCTGCTCCTATGCAAAAAGGTGAGCTGTTGTCAGAGTTAAAGTGTCCCAAGGATGATAAGAAGAGAGCTGAAATGAGAAAGATACCATACGCTTCCGCTATCGGCAGTCTCATGTATGTTCAAGTGTGTACTCGACTAGATATTGCTTTTGCCATTGGAGTGCTAGGTCGATACTTAGATGATCCAGTCCGGATCATTGGAAGGCTGCTAAGAAAGTTATGAGGTATCTTTAAGGTACAAAGAATCATATGTTGACTTACAGAAGGTCAAATTCTCTTAAGGTTGTTGGGTATTCTGATTATGACTTTAAGGGATCAGAAGATCTTGAAATTGTTGGCTTTTCAGATTCAAATTTTGCCTCTTGCCTGGATAATTGTAAATCCACAACCGGGTATATTTTCATGTTGTCTGGAGGAGCTGTCTCTTGGAAAAGTGTAAAACAGACACTTACGGCAGTTTCATCTATGGAAGCTAAGTATATTGCTTGCTTTGAGACTACACGTCACGCTATATGGCTGAGAAAGTTAATATCTGGCATGCACCTAGTTGAGTTAATATCACGTCTTCTAACCATTTACTGTAATAACAAATCTGCAGTATATTATACCAATAATCACAGAAATTCCAACTGCACAAAGCATTTTGATATCAAACTTATGTTTGTGAAAGAGAAAATTGCTGAGTCTCAAACACGTGTAGTACACATTCTTGGAATGTAGATGCTTGCAGATCCACTAACCAAGGGCTTACCTGTAGAAGTTTTTCAAAATCATGTAACTGTATGGGTATTGTGAATTCCTTTGATGCCCCAGTTTAGTGGGAGTTTGAGAACCTTTTATGTTGCAATTTCTCTTTAGGCTTTGTTTTTCTTCTATGAGTTATGTTCAGTTCAGTTAGATGCATCTATATCATTTGTGTCTCCATAGGATTCAATGATTCTGTTGTAGTACGCTATGCATGTCACTTATTTCCCTATAGGAATCAATAATTTATGTTGTTATCTTATTGAGCTGTGTTTGGAATAAAAATTTCGTATTTTATTCAGATTATGAGACATTATATCACTTATTTTCCTATAAGATCTAGTGATTTTTTGGAGTTTCATTTTCTGAATCTTGTTTGTAGCTTGTTTATACAACTTGCTTAATTAATGCAATCCAAGTGGGAGATTGTTGGAATATTTATTTATTTATGGATTAACATTAATTAATAAGCCCAAATAGATTGGTCCTTATGATCTTGTGTGGACTGTGATAGGAGGACTATACAAGTGAGCCCAATGGGCAGAGGCCCAACTCACAACCCAATAGCTGTCAGTTATTCCCTATCTCTTAACTGATTGAGTCAAAGATAATAAAATATATAATTATTTTTTATTTAATAAGGCGGTTATCGATTTAATCTATATAAGACGATTAGTTGATAACCACAAACACATGACTCATTTCTTCTACTCTATTATCTTTAAACTTTCTGAAAGCTCTGGAGACCTGTGGCTTGTGTACCTGCCTACACTGAAGGTAATCGAGATTTCTCAAACACTCATAAATTCTTCAGGTACACATACATTGCTTTACTTATTTATATAAATTAATATATATAAATCTAACATACATCACATAATATTTTATTTAAAAATGACATGACTGATTTCAATTTCTATAACACACTAAATAAAAAAACTCCAAAAACGTATTAGCGTTAGCAATTTGTTGGGCAGATCATATTTTGATTGTCAAATCAAATGATGAGAAATATTCAAAAAAATACAAAATCTTCCAAATTTCTAAATATCACTTGTTTCTGCCAAGTCCAAAATAGTACGTATTTCCACTGAAGAAGATAACGAGATAAACCCACTTCCTCTTCCACCTCGCTCGCTCCCGTTCTTCCGCTGCTTCAAAAGCCTCTCTCTTCTTCATCATCCATTTCCACTATTCAATCAAAGCAATGGCTTTATCCTCTTCCCTTTTCTCACCACCCCATCTTCTTTCCAATCACACTACAAAATCCATTTCAACCGCTTCCAGATTCTCTATTCACCTTCTGAAATCTTCCCATTCACAACCCTTTGTCAAATCTACGCCTTCTCTGGCAGTTCCAACACCCAGACACTTCCAGAGACCCTTTGCTGTTGCAGAAGATACTGCAGTCACTTCTTCACCTGACCCGAAATCCGAGGCCGCGAGGAAGCTCTACATTGGGAACATTCCTCGCGATATCGATAACAGTGAGCTTACCCGGATTGTTGAAGAGCATGGCGCTGTTGAGAGAGCGGAGGTCGTTGAATTTTTAACTTCTTTGTCTTTGCATATCCAATTTTGCCGCTGAATTTTGATTTGGAGTTTTGTTTAATGAAGAGATTTGGGTTGTTTGGCTGTTTAAATGGCCTTTGGAGATGGTAGTCTTTAGTCTTTACATTGATTTTTGGTTGAATTGAAAAGCTAGGTGGATATGAACTGTGTAGAAGTTCAGGCATCTATTAAAATGAAATGAAATGGCATGTAGAATAGTATTGGGTAAGTTATTTGGTGGATGAAAATGACATTTGTTTCAAACTCAGGAAGTCTGGCTACTCAGGTTTTCAAAAGCTACATAAAGGAAATTTTCTGAAATCTGAGCACGTGAGTACATCTTATTTCTCCTTCCTTGGTAAATTTCACACTATTAATCTGAAGATTTCATAGAATTTTGATTATGTGAGCTTTTGGGCATGTATCATGACTTCCTAATTTACTAACTCTGGTTTTTAAAACATAATGCGTGTTAACTGTTTACCATACAGATTGTTGTTTTGAATTGATATCTTATCATGATATTAACAAACATGCTGGGCATGGAATGGCATTAGGATTTGGAAAACCGCCACAGGGTACAATCTTATAAGCATTATTGCTAAAGGCTAGAAAGTGATTGCTTCCTATTAGGTGTCTGTTGTCTTGTTCTTCTTTTAAACTGCATCTTTCCATACCCTTCTTGGATTAGTCATGTTTTGCGGCACCTTTTATAAATCATACCATAAACTATTCATGAATGGCCGGATTAAAAAAAGGGGGGGGGGGGGGGCAGTGACTTCTAAGCTGAGTGGTCTTTCACCCATGACCAATGACATTCAGCTCTACAATGTGTTCTGATGCTACTATTCTGTGAGGCATCATTAATAACATTGTTCTTTCTGATGGGCCATCTAACGTGTAAAATGGATTGAAATAGAAAGAAAATAGAATGAAATAAATGATTTTGTAGGCAAGAGAATTCCTTTGTATCTTTTGATAAAAAAAATGTAGTTAAAATGACAACGACTTTTGGGTAATAGCAATATGAATAAAATGAATATGGTAGACATTACTTAATTTCCATTTTTGTCCAGTGGAAAGGATGTGTCTTCTGGAAAGGATGTGTCTTTCCTGTGGTGCAATCAAACGAGGCCCAAGTCATCCATCACAAGTGTGATTGGAATATAATTCTAAACCTAAATGCAATAACTCATGGCTTCTCTACAGTTTTCCCCCTTGGTTGGTAATGGTTGGTATTGCTCCTTCTTTATTATCAAACTTGTTTGGGGCTTCATGTCTGTGTGACAATGTAAGGCAGGATCATTACTCTTGTAGATGCTATGACTATGGCGTTTTTATTTATGACATACCAATAGATGAATTATTTGTATCCTTGTCTAGTTGTATAGAATCAGCATTTGTAACATGCTATTAACCTTTCATTTTTATAATGATCTTATTTATAGGTTATGTATGACAAGTACTCTGGAAGGAGTCGTCGCTTTGCATTTGTTACAATGAAGACAGTTGAGGATGCAAATTCAGTAATCGAGAAACTAAATGGCACTGTAATTAACATTTATATTGATGGCATTTATAAAATTAGACCAAACGATTCCTGATGGTCATTTAACAATTGAGGACTCACGCACTTCATGTTTTGCCAATAGGAAATCGGAGGGCGTGAAGTCAAAGTAAATATAACAGAAAAACCTTTGCCAACAGTTGATCTATCCATTCTCCAGGCAGAGGATTCTGAATTCGTTGACAGTCCCCACAAAGTATATGTAGGAAATCTTGCAAAGACAGTAACAACAGATGTACTAAAAGACTTCTTCTCTTCAAATGGAAATGTTCTTAGTGCCAAGGTTTCACGTGTTCCTGGGACCTCAAAATCTACTGGTTTTGGCTTTGTCTCATTTTCTTCAGCTGAGGATGTAGACGCTGCAATCTCATCTTTCAACAATTCTGTAAGTTGTTCATTTGCTAGTTTGCAAATCTATATGTGCTGAAAAAGTGAGACCCTAGATTATATACACAGAATGAGGTGCTCCTCCTCTTCTTGCTTATAGTGACGAAAAATATTTGCAAACTTGCTATGGTAGTTTTAATCAGATATAGTGATGGAAGAAAATATCAAACTTGGTCTACTGATTTCATTGAATTTGATATTATTTGTGGTTCATAAATTTTTCTGAACTGTGAGGTTGGAATGTTGGATACACCTATGTGCAGGTCTGTTTGTATATCATTACATAATCAGTACAGCACACTTTTGTCCGTGTGAGAATAAACAAAATTTATGTTTTTGGCTCGCTCAGGCAGGCACTGAACGCGGCTTGATTCTGCTTGTTTTTGACTCTGTTCCTCATATTTTTCAATGGGAAATTACATCTGAGGAGCCAAATGTAAAATATTTAGATTAAAGACCTTAAAAATCTTAATTATTTTCATAGAATAAAGTTTCTACGAGGTTTTGCGGTAACTTTTAAGAAAGTTACAGGTAACAGTTAGCATGCTTTCAGAAGCAACAATTTGTTTTTTTTTTTTTTTGGGGGTCTTGTAAACGCAGGCTTAAGCCTCTTTGAACTATTTTGCAAGCACACATTAAGTATTTTGGAAGTTTTACACCTTTTTTTTTTTTTTTTTCAAAACTGTAACTTTCTTAAAATCAAGTAAACTTGGTAATGAGTCCCTTAAATACTTGATGACAAATTAGATTTTCGGAAATAATTTCAATTTTCAAGGTCTTTTAATTAAAACATTCTAACATGTGGGGTCCTTACATGTAACCTCCCCCTTTTCAATTCTGATCTCAATATCTGTCATCATACAGGTCTCTTACCTTCTTAGATGTTGGACAGACTTTAAAAGATCCTATCAACGTTAGATTTCACTTTTCTTTGAAATTTGTTGAGAAAACATAATTTTAGATCCTTATACTTTGTTCAGATTTTGCTATAGGTTCTTGCACTTTTTTTTGGTATTCTAGGTCCCTACACTTTGTTTATTTAGGGACCTAAAACAATGAAAAACAAAAGTGTAGGGATGTAGAACACCGAAAAAAAGTGTAGAGACCTCTAGCAAAACGTGAGCAATGTGTAAGAATCCAAGGTTATATTTTTCCAAATTTGTTTGTATAATTTGGGTATGATATGAGCTTCTATGAGTAGTCAGTTTACTTTCTGATTTACATTCTGGCCTCTGATAAGGATACTTACAAACATGTTTTAAAACCTGTTTACTGCAGTTGTTAGAAGGACAACGAATTCGCGTGAACAAGGCATAAACAGCCAAAGGCAATACTTTGGAAGAATTGTTGAGCTCATATCCTCTAGTTGGAACCAGTACAGACTTTGCATGAGACAGAAGCCATAACTTAGTTATCTTATTTCTTGTCTAGCTTAAGCCCCATCTTTTTCAGGTGACAAGTTTCTCCCAGAAAAAAAAAAAAAAGCATGAATAGGAGAGTTGAATGCTTTGTTGGAAGAAATTGCGCAGATAAAGTTTTTGGAACCCCACTAGTTACTTGTAATTGTATTGCTTCTTGGTATCTGTACTGTGTAATATGGCAGGTCTTGATGAGTTATGGATGTATTTAGTTCCTCTCTTTGGCTTGAACATGACCCCTTGACTGACCTGGATTTAACAATCTGTCACATTGTATGAGCATTTGATGTGATTTTTTTCATATATTGTTGAAATGGGGGGAGCCCGCAGAAGTTTTAAAGAAAAGTTTGATTTGATGCCTTAATTGACGAATATTTTATTCAAAAAATGACATCCCAATTCAGATCTTGTAATGGAGAAGTACAACAATGATTTGAATGAAACAGGATATGGGATTAAGAAAACTAAAAACAAGATATGAAATGAAGGATAAAAAAAGAAGAAGCTCCGATTGATTTTATTATAAGAAAAAAAAAATTATTCCGATGGAAGAAGTTGAAGGGGAGCAGAAGAGATGTAGAGAGCAATTGGTAAAGTAGGCGAGTCCATTTTTATGTAAATGAGCATCTGATTTTTCTTAAAGTTAAAAATATATTTACTAACTATGATTGATCCAATTGATAAAAGGGAAAATTTTATTTAAGAACTTGGAAAGAAACATATTTTTTAGTGGGTTTTAAAAGATTTTAAAATTTCAATTCAGTACTTAGAGATTAAATTAAAAATAAATTAAATGTAAAAAAGATCAAAATACCTTCAGTTTAAATATTAAAAAAAAACTATCAGCTATCGTTGTTGGAGCACCAATGCTGGTGACTAGAGCCTTGCTAATGACGATAGCTATTGGACCCCCATCGCCAGATCTCTGATCACCAGTTGGACCACCATTAGTGGTGGCTAGAAAATTATAAAAAATTAATTTCTTCAAAGGTAGCTAAGGTAGGTGTAGAACTTATAACCCTTTGATTCAAAAAAAAGTTTTGGACCACCAAACCATTTAACCCTTTCAATTAATAATGTATAAAATTATATATATAATAAACTTTATTTCCAAGCTACTTGATTGTTATATTACTTGTTAATTGCATAACTTTATTTGTTAATACCTTAACAAAACTTGTTAATTACGTAACTTTTCTTGTTAACCTCATGACTCCTACAATAAAAATAAATTACTTGTTAATCGCATAACTATACTTGTTAATACTATAACAAAATTTGTCAATTACTTAACTCTCCTTGTTAACTCCCATTACAAGTAATACAGTTCAGTTGAAGGAGTCCTGAATTTAATAAGTAAATTCAAGTAATTAACAAGTCCTGCTAATATATTAACAACTACAGTTACATAATTAACAAGTAATGTAGCTCTATTGTGAGAGTTACAGACTTAACAAGGAGAGTTAAGTAATTGACAAGTCCTACTAATATATTAACAAGTATAGTTATGCGATTAATAAGTAATTTATTTTTGTTACAGGAGTCATGAGGTTAACAAGAAAAGTTAAGTAATTAATAAGTTCTATTAAGGTATTAATAAATAATATAACAATCAAGTAGTTTAAAAATAAGGTTTATTTTATATATATATATATATATATATTATTTTATGTATTATATGATTGAATGGGTTGAGTAATTTAGTGGTCTAAAGTTTTTTGGTGAATTAAGGAATCTTAGGTTCTACACCCACCTCAACCACATTTGGAGAAATTAATTATTCATAATTCTTCAACCACTATAGACAATACTCCAGCCAGCGGCTAGACTTTTAGCGACGAAGATCCAATGGCTGCCGTCGTTGTTGAGGCTTCGGTCATCGGTAATGGTAACTGGTGATTTTTTTTTTAAATATTTGAACTAAGAGTATTTTAATTTTTTTTACATTCAACTTATTTTTAATTTAATATTTCAGAATTGAATTGAGATTTTGAAATCTTTTGAGACTCACTAGAAAATATATTTCCTTTCAAGTCCTTAAATAAAATTCTCCCTTGATAAAAATATGATTTGTCTCAAACAGATGTGGGTTTGAATCGTGTTTCTTGCCAATATGACAATCTTATTCTTATTGATAAGTAATCAATAATCAATAGATAGCTCCATGAATGATTGAATTTTGGGCATGCTCTAGACATGATGAGTTTAGATCCAACTCAACTGGTTTTTTTTTTTTTTTTCAAAAAACATGTCTAACAAAACACTCCACAAAAAAATAAAAAAGCCCCAAGTGTTTGGTGTTTGAGCTGGCCAGAAAAAAGTGTATGGTATTTAATATGGTATTTTGTTTCATGCAAAAATTTATCTGTTAATTTTACTATTGAGAATAAACTATTCAGCAAAACAACAAAACACTTCAAAATTTCATACGTAAGAGACGTTTTTAAAGGACTCTGATGATTAAAGAATTATTTGTTTACAATGTTTTTTATTGTGATTATTTATCCACAAATCACTTTACAATATTTTAGGACTTACTTCCTATGAACTAAAATACGTAACATCTTCTAAAAATTTTATTTAATTTAAAATATAAGATATTGAATAATTTTTATATATTTTTTTCAACTATATCCTACTTCATTTATTATCTTTTTGAAAAAATCATGCATTATAATTTTAATTATTATTATCAAGACTTTTATATTAGATATTTAATGGGAGTATAAATGAAAAAGATATAGATATTTTTAAAAATTTAAAGTTTCAAATAACATTATTCATAAACAGTGAATTAATTAATTATGACTTATATTATAATTTGAAAGAAATAGCATGGAATTTTCAAAGCACTTTTGGAGTTTGGACAGATTGTATTCTCTGTGCTAGCACCCACCACTCAAGGAGTTTTCATCTACTCTTCTGGTCCTATTTATAGGGTAGAGAGAAAAAAAAATTGATCCTCTTTGTAGGTCACTTGCCAATTTTTTATGTTTTTCTTTACATTTTTATCTTTATTAAATGCTTTAAATAAAAATATCAGTACTGAGATTTTAAAATATTTATTAGGGTAGAAGTAAAAATTTGTTAAATTTTAAGATAAAGTTAATGAGAGTTAATTTTTTTTAATTCCAGTGAAACATGCTGGAAGGAAGTGACTTATAAATAGAATCAGAAAAATATTTATTTTTGTTGTACTTATGACGTTAAAATTACTGCAGAATTTTTTAAGATAAAAATAAAATGATATAATTTATTATTTATAAATACTAAACATTAATTTGTTTTAAATGAAGATAATAAAAATTAAAATATACTCCTTTCATTTAAAAATATAAGACATTTTTAACCGAATTTCACTCCCAATAAAATAGTTACCTACTTTTCAATTAACCCTATCTTTTTATATTTATATCTATTAAATACCCTACAATAAATATAAAGTCATTATTAATAGAGACTTTTTTTAAAAAAATAATAATTATATTTTAAAAAATTAAAAATATCTTATATTTTTAAATAGAGGGAGTAATAAATATTGTAAATCAAGTCTTTTGAACAATATTTTGTTTTGTTTTTTTTGGGATAGCAGAACATTTATTAACTATTTGTCTAACCGGGCCTTGCTCCAAATTTCAGGCATCCAACTGAGCAAGCGCAATAATAAAATCATAACCATAAGAAAAAGTGTACGCCCAGAAAATGGCAGTTTCGTAAATTTCGGAAGAAACGAGGTTGTATTAGTAATGATGAATGAATACGTGCGCAGCAACGTGACCAGACCACCTGGCTTCCTCAGTACTCTTGAGGCGCCATTTTCTAATTTTCCGCGCCAAAAATCCAAGCTTAATGAATCTTCAACCTCTTTAGGACTCATCAATGCCATCACTCCCGCCCTGCCCTCATCCTCATTCTTGCCGTTAATATCTCCTGCGCGCTTCTCTTCCTCATCTGCTATTTCCGGCCACCTTCTTCCTCGGACCATCGCACAAAGTTCATCAAAGGTGGGCTATTTCTGATTTGTGATTTTTCTGTTTTGCTGAGCAAACAAGAAAAAAAAACTGCAGCTATCACCAGGAGGGGTAACTTTTATTTCAATCGATTTCCGATTGCATTGTTGGAAGAAATATAAATGTGTGACTTTTTTAACTTTTAGGGGGTCCCGACGGGGAAGCCGTCAATAATTGTGAATCTTCCATTCGAGGTTCTTCTTTCTGCAATTGTTTCTCGGTATCTTTGGCTGCCGTGATCGAACAAGACAAACATGTTTTATTCGCATACGTTTCTGGCACGAAAGGGGCCACTGGCCACAGTGTGGATTGCTGCGCATTTGCAACACAGGCTCAGGAAGTCTCATTACACTTCAACTGATATACCCTCCACCGTCAGTAAGTGAAATCATCTTCCTTTTTCTCAAAAGCATGTTTCTTTTGTCAATTTTTCTGGCGTAAAGATTCAAATTTTATTCCTTTACGGATAAAGTTTCCGTCTTTTATTTGGGTTTTGTAAGTGCCATTTATGCCAGAGTTTATCTCTCAAGTTAGCTATTTTCCCCATCCTTGTTAATGGGACATGCGACTCTTATTAATGGGTTATAATCTTCTTCGTCAATTCGTTCCTTTATGAATAAACTTTCCAAGTTCTATTTGGATTTTGGCTGGACGGTTGTTATCTGAATGACTCTTTCAATTTAGCCTTCTTTTCTTTCTGCTGGTGTTCTGTTTGCGCGTGTCCATATCATTACTGTTTTTGTTGGGATAATGGGAGGTAATGGGTTGTAATTTGCTTCGTCTTCAAATTCCTCCAACCAAACGCACCTTAGACAATGTGAGAAGAATGTTGTATTAAATTCCCTAGTCCCTGTCCTGATGTTATGCTTGGATGCTTAATTTGATTAAACTAGGTTTTACTTTTATTTGTTTATTTTCATTTTAAGTTTCTTGACAAAGGCTTTCTCTAGCGGTCATGCATTTTTTAGTATCCATTTTGTGGGAGTTAGTTTCAATATTTCTTGGTTTTTTTTCTGTTTTTGATTGAAGTTTTTTTAAAAATATTGTAGTATAAATAAAAGCAAGGAAATCATCCACTAAGGTCCTTAGACAATGCGACTGCCTGAAAATACCTAAGTTGAGTCTCAACTACAAGCAAGTAAAGTGCCCTACTTTATATTGCTGGGAAAAGATAACCTTTTTGAAAACGCAAGCATTATGCACAATAGATTCTAATCCTATAGCTACATGGAACACCTCAATCAAACTATGTTATTTACACATTATTTTCCCACATCTAACAAACATCAATTGCTCCAACGTCTTGGTCCATCTCTCTGCCATGCTATCACTTTGTGCTCTTCAAGCTTGTTCTGTTTTTTTTTTTAATTAAGAAATTGGTAGATTGGTGTTGCCTATATTTCTTACATCTATGGGATTATAAAACATGAGTTTGATATCAAGAAGGCTGAAAAGTGATTTTCTAATTCCTAATTACCATATTCTGTATTTTTTGTTCCTAATCCATTTCTCATTTTTGGGTACTTTAAAAATTTATTTAACTAGATTTTTTTGTGTGTAGTTAGACATATATGTGATAACAATTGTATATAGTTTAATGATGAATATTAAAATTGCGGCATTGGATTTCACATCTTGTGTTTCTTGAATTGAAATAACGTGTACATTCTGATTCAGAAACTGTATAATGGTCCTGGTCCTGAACTTGACTGAATATTCCCTTTCTTTGAATGTCTCTTTTAGAACGTATTATGGAACCTGAAGTTCCCATTGCCTTGAGAATGTCAGGCCACCTTCTTTTAGGTGTTGTTCGGATATATTCAAAGAAAGTTGATTATCTTTTCCAAGACTGCAATGCTGTTTTGACTGGTCTCACCAAGGCATTTGCTTCTATTCAACTTACTCTGCCAGAGGATGCAAGGAAGGCACCATTTCATTCTATCACACTGCCAGAGACATTTGACCTTGATGCCCTCATCTTGGATGGTGGAGTAGATGACGGGTAAGGTTTTGTTCAGCTTCTTCCAATTTATTTTTACTTCTAAAATCAGTATTTGACGCATGGATTTCTGTCTCAGGGTTGAGGATATCCACTTGAGGAGTCAAGAAGAGATCACTCTAATAGGTCACAGAAATGGATGGATATTTTAGTTATCTCTTTTTTTTATAGCCGTATATTTAAATATTTAACTTGTGTCTCTAATGCTATTTATTGTGCAGATCAAATTCCTACTAGCACGGATTACTATGTAGCGATCACTTTTGATGAGGTTTGCCCTCATTGTTTCCTGAACTGTTTGTTATTTTGGATTTCGAGCTTTTGAGTTGCAACTCTATTTCATCTACTGAATTTTCCATGTTTTAGGATATAATGATGGACTCTTCACACACACAGGTGTTGCCAGATTCAGGGGCCAGACCAATGGAGGAGTAAGCTTTTGAGACTTTTGAAAGTTCTATTGCGTTCTGATATTTCTTCAGGTATTATTAGCCAATGGAATAACCTGTTATTTATTTATGCCTGCAGAGTTGTCCCACAAGCTCCATCAACAATTGTTGGTAATGTTCAAGTTTATGATGACCCAGGAAGCCAAAGAGAATCACCTGCTGCTCAACATACCGATGACCTCCACCCTCATAACATTCAAGATCCTGAATTTACTAGAGATTTGAGTTCTCAAGATGCTGGTCCAAGAAATCAGACGGATATGCTCAATTTGAGTCCCGGGGACAACAGTCCACAAGTTCTACCAGAAAAAGAAGTTCTTCGTGATGCCAATAATGATTTAAATCAAGAAAATCCTCCTCCATTGGTTCCAGATCCTGGGGATAATGCTGGACCAAGTAGGATTTTCGACCAAACTATGAATGACAAGGACTATATTCCTCCAGTGATTGAAGATGTGGATGTTGGAGAGCTATCTGTACCATCTCAGCGACATTCTGTTTTGCCAACTCCAGATATTTCTCAAGGGGCCCCTGAGGCACAAGTTTCTCCTGGTGGGTGTATAACTCTTTCCATTGCATTTACCTATGGATAAAAAATTATAACACTTGCATTTTTGTTCTTCATACTGTTTCAGGCCATCAATTTCCCAACTTGGTGCTTCAACCAAGTCCACCAGTCCAGCAGCCCCAGAAGAGAGGAAGAAAGAGAAAACAATTCTTTGATACATCAACAGTTTTGACTAATAAGTATGCTGTAAAATTTGTTTTATTGAATCTCTTTCTTTCACAAATTTCTGTTGTTTTTCATCCTATTTACTCATGGGGATGTGGATTTGTAGATTTATGAAGAAGGCTCTTGATAGTACGGATGATTTACTTCGGAAGAGACGATTTAGGCCTTCCTCCTCTTTGGATACATGGAAAATGAACAATAATCAAAGAAAGGAACAAATTTTTTTTCACCCCTTGGCAACAGGTAAACAGAAACCTTTTCGCTGGACAGCCTGTTACCTTCCAGTTTTATGAACTTACTTCCAAAATTTGTGTCCATAATGCAGGGCTATGCAAGGATCTCTCAGAAATTTCTCAAAGGGATTATATATGTGCAAAATCCCATCTGGTTGTCTCTGAGGAAGATCATACGGATGATGAGATTGCTAGAACTCTTTCAACTAGCCATACTGCCAAAGAGCCTAGAGCTGCTACACTACTTGCTACAGCATGTGCTCAAGATATGGAAATTGAACGCCTTCGTAGTATTGCTGCTTCTCCGCCTCCTGCTATACCTTCTCATGATGTGGAAACTGAAATCATTAATATTGAGGGTGATCATAGTAGTCCTCTCAGTCGGAATGACATGACTCCTGTCTCACCTCAAAAGTTAAGGTCTGTATCAGTTTCCCCATCGAAGACAATTGATGTGGCTGGGACAGTTCAAACGCCTGATTTAGCCTCATCCCCTAGGGATCATGGATCCCAGATGGAAAGTCCTAGGACTTTTCTAGATGAAGGAACATTTCAGAACTTTGTTCTCTCAGATACTCATCATTCAATAATTTCTGCCGAAGAAGTAAGTTAGTAGATGTTTAGTCTTTTCAATATTAAGGTGCTATAAGCTTCACATTGTAAGGATCTTGTCCATGTTGTACTGAAGATGCATGCAAAACCATTACATTTTTTGCCACCTTTGATTTGCATTTATGCAAATAGGCAGCATTCGACCCAAAAAAAAAAAAAATAGTCAGCAAACCCGCAGCTGGTCACCTTACTCTTATTGTAGGTACTCCTGAATATGTTGAGTTGAAGAATTATGTATGTAGACTCTAATTAGTTGAACTTGTTCATTTTAGGAGCTTAATTTTCTGGAAGCAGACAATACGCCAGCCAGTAAGTTCCTTTGTAAATCTGAAATGTCTTGCTCAGACAATGCTAGATGGCCAGTCTCATTTTTTTTCCCTTTGTATGAATGACACATCTATTCTATTTGCAGGTTCACAAGGTAACGAAGGTGTAAACTCACTGTCTGTGAGGACTAGGTATTTATCCTGATAGCATTTAGTTTGGAGACTTGGACTTCAAATCTCTAGAAGGCTTTTATTGCCAAATAGATGGCCAGAAATCTGTAGATCTGGAAAAAAAAAAAATTTACTGGCTACTGTTTCTGATTCACATATAATGAATGCTTCTATATTATCTTTTTAAGAGGCTTGGTTTGATCTGTTTTCTTGATTTTAATTACAATTTTGCAGCCTTTATGCATGTTAAATAACCAGTTTATTTCATAGTGTTGTTAAAAGATTGTTACTTGTTCAACCTACGAATCTCTTGCTCACATATTGCCATGTCAATTACACCATATGATATAGTGGACTTCCTGTCTTCCATTTCTAGGGCGAGAATAGATTATTCATATGAGACATCATATGATGTGTATTTATTGGAATGAAAAAAATGTGTAGGTCTACAAACAAAACCTAGTATAGCAAAATAGCCTAGAAGTTATTTGCACAGCACTTAATTTTTCAATGACTGGGCTCTTTTCATAGCATACTCCACAACAGTTCTGAATCACTAATTTTTTAACATTCTTTGATTCCAGGGCGGTAGCTCGTTATTTGAGAAATCTTTCTCCAATTAGCCCAATTGTAGAGGACCCTGCTGAAGATCTCAGTTTGAACAAGATCTTAGAAGGAAAGACAAGAAAGATCGCTGCTCGAATGTTCTTTGAAACATTGGTGAGTTCTGAAACCCGCCCATCTATTGGAATAATGCCCCTCAATTTTGCCACAAGATGTGAATAGACGATGTGTGTGCATCTTGCCTTTAGTGTGAAAATCTAAAATGTGAATGTGAGCGTAATCTGTATTCATAATGCTATCGTTGTGAAAGTTGACTATGTAAAAATTAGCCTTCTAATTCATTTCTGCATGCACAGAGGCTAATTTTGAATGTCTTTCAATGCTTGAAGATTGTTCAGTTTCATCATTAGCTTGCATGTTTCGTTCCTCTGAAGCATGTTTAAGTTGGGGATTTCTGGTTTAAGTTAGGTAATTTGATTATATGCAATGGAATTTTGCAGATGATAAGTTTTATTTGTGATTGATGTCATGATAGCTTTAAATTGAAGTTAAAATATTTTCTGTCAAAAGTTGTCTTCTAGTTTATGGGAACTTAAATTTGTATGATTATGTGGAAACTGTTTGTTGCATCACAGGTTTTAAAGAGTTATGACCTTGTTGACGTACAGCAAGAAGAACCCTACGGTGATGTTAGCTTGAAGTTGACCGCTGCACTTTCAAAGGCTGAAATTTGAAGTCACCATTAAGTTATTTGTATTTTTCTTGGGCCCTGATGTATATATGGGTAAGAGTTGTATACTTTGCAGTAAAATTCATGCAATTCCTCTGAAACGTAGAAAAAGCAAATTAGGGGAAAAATTAAATACTTTTGTTCTTGGGAGAAGGACAATTGAGGACCTTCGAAGAATATTAATGTAAAATATAGACCTTCAAGTTGTGAATTGTGAAATACCAGCTGTAAATAGGTCTTGGTTTTACATTATTCTTCCAGAGTTCTTGATTGTCATTCTCCCTTTGTTCTTCCCCAGATTTCAAACACTTAAGAACTGTTTGGTGATAATAAATGCAGCCTGATGTGCTTTGAATAAAATAGGAGGGGTCTCAAGAATTTGAAGGCTTGAAACTTGTTTTAATATGATGAAATGGAATTTAGTGGAATTTCAAGGATTACCTAATGAGCCCCAAGCCTTAGTTTGAAAACTGAATTTTTCACCTTGCGCTGTTGTATCCTGATACACTTGTTAGAAAACCTAGTTGTTTATTCTAGTTCTGAATTATTTTCTTTTTATTGCATGCAGTTGGGTTCTAATACAAGGAAAGGAAATGCGTTGGGATTAGTTTGACAGTCATCGGAAGGCAAATTTTTTAGCATACATTGAGGATGGTTTCATTCATCCTCTGTTTTGCCTGGTTTAAATTAATGTTATGTGTATCTATTTAGGTGGCCAAAAGAAAGAGTGAGTTGTGTATAACTTGTTATGTTGTAGTTTTTGAGCTATTGGAAGTAAAGGCAAAAGGGAAATCTGAAAGCTGAATTTGCTGTTTCACTTTATTGCCTCTGACAATTTTAAGGAAGAAAAATTGAAATGTCGGAGTTCAAAAGAGGGGAGAATGACAATTAGCGACCTTGGAAGACAAAATATGATACTTTAGTGTTTTTGCATTAGAGAAATGCCGGTGAAATCCCAACTGCCTTTAATGAAATTTAAAAAATGAAGTACAATCACCAAAAAAGGTTTTTTCTTCTATCTCTTTAATGTCCCGTCCCATATGTGTGTGTGTGTGTGTGTGTATTTTTTAATTATTTTATTATAAATGTTTAAATGAATTAAGTATAATAAAAAAATTAGAAGGATTTATTAGTATATGATCAAATTTTAAAAAATAAAGTACTCCTTTTAGTTTCTTTAAAATGCTTGGAATCATTCGTGGGTTGGACTTATGTTGGCAAATGGCTTCAAGAAAGTGGATATTTATTGCGATTTGTATTGAGAGGCAGGATGTTATTGATTATTGAAGGTTTATGATATACAGATACTTTCATTTTAAGAATATATGATGTGATACGTTTCTGATATGTATGTATATATATAAATTATAAGAAACACAAAGTATAATTTCAATTCAAAAAATATCTAAACTATCATGCATGCATAATTGTTTACAGTAATACTAAGCAAAGCAAAATCATTGATTATACTTTTATTTTATCTATACTTAATTGTTTATCACCTTGTCCCTATTAACAAATCTAGTATCAATATTTTCTTTTCAACCATCATCTGAAAAAATGTATAGTTTCTATATTAGTTCATCAATAGATAAGTTTATTATTTCCAAAATTTCAATACCATTAATGTCATTCCTTTCAACTCCACTAATATCCCAAAAAAGATATTAGTAAGAGAAAGTTTAATAAAATTTTATTTCTTAAAAATTTCCTTTTATCAACATTGAAGTATCAATGCATAATTTAGAAGTACTAGATATGTATCAAAAATTAAAAATAATATTTTAATATTTTATGTATATGTATCAAAGAATTGTCGGTGAGTATGATATCCATGGTATTGAAACCCGGACCGGACCGGCCGGGTCAACCTGGAAACCGGTGACCCGGTCTCTTGTCCGGTCTGGGTTTACTCCTAAACCGGTGACAAAATAAACCGGTGTAACCCGGTGGGTTGACTGGGTTAACCGGGTTATTTTTTTTGAAATTTTTTTTTATTTTTTATTTTTCAGAGTGCTGAATTTAGAAATAAGATAAGATAACAAAAAAAAGTAAAACTAAAGTCAAAAAAATAAAAAATTAGAGATAGAGCACGCTAAGTCCAATTCAGATTTTCAGATAGCATTTATTTCAGCCTTTCATCTGTGTCTCTCCTCTCTCACCCTAACCTAATCAGTGTCTCTTTTCTAGTTTAGTCTCCGTCTCTTCTTCAGGCTCCAGCTCTATCTCCATCTCTTTTTCAGCTCTATCTCTGTCTTTGCTATCTTCATCTCTTCTCTAACTTAGTCTCTGACTCTTCGTCTTTTTTCTAGCTCAATCTCCGTCTCTTCTCCAACTCTATTTCCATCTCTTCTCTAGACTTTTGAGATTGAAGAGTTGTAAGTGTAATGATAGATATTTAAAATATTGTATTTTATTACTGTTAGACTTTTGAGTGGTTGAATTTAGTTGAATATTTTTATAATTAATGTCTTTTTATTTAAATTGTATTATTTTAATCATGACCGGTTTGCCACCGGTTCAACCCCCGGTTCAACCCTAATTGAACCACTAACCCGTGACCCAATGCCATAACCGGTTCAATGACCGGTCCGATTTTACGTACCTTGATGATATCAATATAAATACATGATGTAGTTTGAAGTATCATATCCTTTGTTTAGAGAATGTAACTTGTATGCTAACCATTTGGCTTGGTTTTCATAAAATTTGGATATTAATTTTGTATCTTTGATTATTTCCCTTCTCTTCTGCAAGCCGTGAAAATTTTGAACACTCATAATTTCTTTTGGTTAGGTAATGCATTGTCGGTTTATATTAAAAAAAAAATAGTGCATTTTTGAACTAATTTTCTTCTTCAAGAAATCAGTTAACAACTTTAAAATTTTCATGCCCTTATTTAATATTGTAATTTAATTATAAATAAATATGAAAATTTCATTATTCTCAACTGTTTATTAAAGTTTTTTTTAAATATCATTACTTACTACTACAAAACACTAAAATGTTATATTTTTTTTAAATACTCTATTCGTCCTAAATTATAAGGTACTTTTAAACAAAATCTCATGTACTAATAGATCTCATTAAATACACTTAATAATCTTATTTTTTTGAAAACAAATATATAAAATTTTAAAAATATCAATCATTTAATAACCTTAAATCTATACTTAATTAGTATTAAATAGAGAGAGATAAAAAGAAAGGGTATTATTAGAATAAGCTTATTTAATAAAATTTTAATTTTTTCAAAATGTTTTATATTTTGAGACAGCAAATCTTGTTCAAAATATCTTATAATTTGAGACCAAAGGAGCATAACATTTCAAACAATGCCTTATAATTCTAAACGGGGAGACTAATATTTAATCATTTGTCACCATTTCTTTACCCCCTCCAAATTACCTCAATAGCTCTATTGATTGCATACGCAATATGCGCAATCAATAGAGGTAGTTTCTAGATAACAGCAGTGTTTTTTTTTTTTAAAAAAAAAAAAGACAACACACATATATTATAGATAATTAACTTAACAAGAAGTTCAAATCTGAAATTTTATATATTTTATGTACCGAGCAAATTTAGTAGAAATGAGGTTACTATTTAGTATTTACTTTCAACACTTGACATTAGTCTCCTCTGGTGATGGGTTAATAAAAAAAATATTAAATATGAAGGTCATGGTCAAAATTAAATCCACAGCCGCGAGGAAGGACTTGATAATTTTGAGTTTTCAGCATGGACCCAAGCTTGTTCTCTGCTTGCTCGTTAAGCAATATTATTCATGCACAAGCTTCGTTGCTTCCTTGTTTATGTTAATCCCTATGACTATATATAAACTCATCTAAATACTCTGAAATATTGAAAGCCATTAATTCCTGGTTCTTCTTTCTTTTCGATTATATATAGTTCCAGAGAACTTCGATCAACGGGAAAGTTTGAAAGATATGGGTTTAGGGTTTCTGAATTGCTTTGCTTCTTCTTCTTCTTCATCTTCTTCGTCTGCTCGAGTGGCTGATCGCACAGAAGCCGAAGGAAAAGCTAGTTACATGGAATCGAAATCTTCACAGAAATCTGCAGAATCGAAATCGGAATCAAAGGGACCTCCAATCATTGTTTCTTATTTCCCAATCAACTCTTATCCTTCCCGATTGTAGTCCGCTTATATAATTGCTGCTCTTCTTCTGCCCTTGCCTTTGAGTTTTGATTCCTTTGTTTCTCACAAGTCTGTACTGTTCTTTTTTAATTTATTGAAATAAATTTGATTTATTTACTTAATTTTATAATAATAATAATAATAATAATAATTTATTTCATACCATGTATAATATTCCTCCGTATCAAATTATAAGACATTTCTAAATAAAATTTTATATACCAATAAATTTCATTAAATATACTTAATAATTTTATCTTTTCAAAATAAAAATATAAATTTTTAAAAATATCATCATTTAATATATTAAAAGAGAAGGGATGAAATTAATTATAGAAAGAAAAATAATAATATTAAAATTGATGCTTTTAATGAAATCTTAATATACTTAAAATATCTTATATTTTGAAATAAAATTTTTTTAAAAATACCTTATAATTTGAGACGGAGGGTGTATAACATATTACCCAGTTTCAATTAAAATAATAAAATTTAAAGATTATGCATGAAAAAGTAGGGACATTTTAGATAATATTTAATCATATTTTTATCATATATGTTAAATTTATAGTCAATTAAACTAACTATTTATTGTCTATTGCAAGTAATCAAAATCATCAAGTATATCATATCAATTGTCTAACTAAATTAAAACATGCTTTTATTATGAACTAACATCACAGATGAATTATCAATATATATATATATATATATACTATTAAGGAAAAACCAACCATATACAAGATAAATAAAAGCACACCATAACATGACTTTGTATTATTAAGATTTTTTTGAAAACAATTTAAAATCGGTTCTTTACCAGGTCTGACCAATTTTCCACTGATTATGGCCGGTTCACTTTTCCCTGATTTTGCACCCTTGTCTAGACCAAACCATAGGTCAGCTTTCAACCGGTCCGGTCCAGTTCTAAACACGAGTTGAGACTTCTATAAATATAAACACTTAGCAACTAAACTTTACTCGCTTTAAAAAATAAAAATAAAAAGTATAATAATTTAACAAATTTATAGCCTTTGAACAGAGCAAGCTGAATAAAAGTAGTAGTAGAATCTGGTTCTAAATAGTAGTAGTAATAGTAATAGTAATAATAATAATAATAATTTCTTTAGTCCTATTTAGAATTCAAACTTTTTTAAATGTACTCCCTCTGTTTTTTTTTTTTTTTGATAAGCTACTCCCCCTATTTTTTATTATGGGAGAAACTTTCATAGTCACTGATTTTTATATAAGTAAAATTACAAAATTTAAAAAGCATCTATCACATTTAATTTCTCTGAAATTGCCCCTTATTAAATTAATGTTTATTTTCACAAAACAAACTTGATTCCTTCACATGTTAAAAATTAATTAAAATAATATTTTAACTCAAAATTTTTAATTCCAAACATAATTATTATGTTTAACAAATTTTCTTAAACTATGTCAGTTTGTTAAATAATTTACATTTGAATACAGAGGCAATGCATGTTAAAGATCCACTATTTAAAAGTAGTTGGGACTTGTGGATAATTAATTTTCTTATTTAGATCCTGTATGTAATTTAAATTATTAAATAAGATCGCACAATAATTTTTTCCATAATGGAAACCAAATGATAATCTTGCGATCACCATCATGAGCCTCCCTTCCCAGAAATACCGTGAGCCTTAACAACGACGTACCAGAGCTGACTCTTTTTGGACCTCATATTCCATATTTATTTGCTTTTCTCAATCAAC